CAAAAAAAAACCCCTCTAACAGAAATTTTGTTTCCTCAATTATTATTTCAAAACCTTGATTTCAGTCTTTTTGGAGGAAATTTTCCAAACTGAAGCCTTCTGTCTGGCAGTAAAAGCACTGAGCGCCCACTTTATTTTACCTAATACATCAGACGCTAAAAACGGGGAGAGTAATAGGGAGAAAAATTAACACAGCAATGTAAACTAAGCTGCTGCGTCAAGGAGAGACAGTGACTTCTCCATGGCCAAGTCCCACACCCCTCTTAGAAAGACCTAATAGATACCTGGGCTTTTATTTCAGTCATGAGACTCTCACTAATTTTTCCGCAAATCCTTTCAGCAGATGTTTCATAACATGATCATTCCTGGGCTTAAGGAAGAAGGTGACGATGACCTTTGAGAATCTGTCACCACATGGCTTCATCACATGTCGTAAAAGCAGTGATGCTGACCTTCTCCCCTCAAGATATCAGCCCTCATCCATCTGGAGAAGCTAACAAGAGTGACCTTTTCAGGTCCTTGCTGATACCATTACTCTCTGAGTCTGTCATTGGACCTAAGCCATGGTGTCAGAGGGGTAGGTTTAAAAACTAGCGAACTAGTGCCTCAGAAAGAAAAGAGAGTCAATGAATTTCTTTCTGTTCCATAGGTAGCTATTGGCCTAATGCTTCAGCCTGACCTAGTGCTTTCCCTGGTCATGACCCACATGCAAATCCCTGCATCTGCACGGCACACTGAGGGGACTGGGTGAAACTGGTCGGGGCCAGAGTGACTGGCTTGACAGAGGGAGGGAGGTGCTTGGAAAGTCTCAGGCCCCACTCTGCTACCTTAGGGCTCATTCCTGGTCCACTGGCTGGGAAGCTCAATCTAACCCTTTAGCACGCTGTGTCCCAGGTCTGTGTAGCAAGCCCATAACCAACACTTAATTCCACCAAACCTGCTGTCTGTTCCCTCAGAGTCAGTCTATTACTGGGAATGATCATCAAACTACCAGACTTAAAGCATGAGCCTGTGTGCGTGTGTGTGTGTGTGTGTGTGTGCGTGTGTGTGAATTCTACCCTCTTTTTCACCCCCATACTCATTCAGCAAGAATTTTTTTTAGTACCAAATTAAGGGAAAGTGCTGTGAAGCGTAGAAGATGAAACAGACACAGATTCTACCCCCATGGAAACCTCTCCCCTGTAGGGGAAATAAGACATTTATATAAATATATACTTGTTGAGTGAATAAAGGAATAATTGCAGCATGAGGTAAATAGTGACACTTTCTAGAAAAATAAGCTATAAATAAACTTCTGTGGAAATGAGGCAGGAAAAGTTTCCCTCTGGACAGGTTATGGGGATCGTGAGAAAAGGAAGCACTGATACCCATCCAGTAAGAAGGCTCTACGGGACTCAGGCATCCACCAGGGCAGAAGAAAGGAAATAGAATATTTGACCATTTAAATTGTACAGTTTGGGAAGCAGGGAGGGTATAGCTCAGTGGTAAAGTGTGTGCTCAGCATGCACGAGATCCTGGGTTTAATCCCCAGCACCTCTGTTAAAAATTTTTTTTAAAATAAAATAAATAAAAATATAATTAATCCCCTAAAACCTCCATTAAAAAACTTTTTAAAATAAAATAAAATGTACAGTTTATAAGCCAAGTTCTGCTAAAAAGAGGTAGGACGTGGAGTTGGGGACAATGGGAAAGAGAATTAAAATAAAAATGTATAGAAGTTCTCTGATAGGTTTTTATTGCCCTCCTCAGGCCTCCTTATATCAGATAATTCAGATAATTGAGAGCCTGAGGATCTGTTAATATTTTTTAAAGCAACTCACTCCACCTACAGAAAAGGGATTCCAGGTCACAAGCCAATCCCTGAGCTCACCCTTCAACCATCAGCTTAGACATGTCCTTTCCTGAAGGAATCCCAAGGTTTAGGAAGCTTCAGCTCATCACCAACGTCAGGGGTTTAGTAAGTGCTGCTGTGTCCCACAGAATCCGAGAGCCTGCCGTGGCTAAATCCATTTGTATTACCCAATCAAGTGGTATGAAAAGAGCTGGCCCTTCCGCGGCTCTGAATTCCTCTAAGTGCTAGAGAAATTCACACGGCCACTCTTCATCTCTGAAGCTGACACGGTTTCAAAGTCACTGTTGGAAAGCTGGGCAACCCCATCTCTTCTCGAAAGAGGAAAGTCCTAGATCTTCCCACCTATCCCAAGGCAGTGAGGAGCTTCTGCCTCCAACATTCTCACACAGGAGGTGAAAGCAAGGTAAAAAGAACCCTGCTGCGAAAAATATTTTAACTAGAGGTAGCACACAGGAAATACCAGTTATGACGTCGGCAGTAAGGTATCACACATGACGTCCAGTCACCCCCACGACAAGCATTTAAAACCCTGTGAGTCTGGAGCTGTTCACCATCTAGGTCTACCTCTCCATGTCTTCCTGCTTGGACTGTGATGATGTGGCTTTGAAGGACTTTGCTAAATATTCTCTTGACCAATCTCATGAGGAGAGAGAATATTCTGAGAAAATTACGAAGCTGCAGAACCAATTCATTCAGAAGGGGCTGAATCTTCATTCAGGAGATCAAGAAACCAGACCACGATGTCTGAGAGGGGCTGAACGCAATGGAGTGAGTGTGCATTGTGCTTGGAAACAAAGCATTCATCTGTCATTACTGGGACTCTACAAACTGACACTGACAAAAAAGATCCCCGCTTGGGTGACTTTGTGAGACTTATTAGCTGAATGAGCAGGTGAAATCCATCAAAGAGCTGGATGACCACCTGACCAACTTGTGCTAGGTGGGGGCCCCTGAATCTGGCACGGTGGGGGCTCTCTCTGACAAGAGGCAGTGACGGCAGAGCTGAGTCTCAGGCCACAGCCATGGGGGTGGAACCGAGCAGGACCCTCTGGGGCCATCCTGGGACAGAGCCCTCCTCCATATCCTCTGCTGTAGCTCCTCTCTGAAGGACCCAGATAATAGTATCTGGTGCACGTTTCCTGAGTTGTTTTACAGATGGAAGAAATTAACTACCTGATGACCATGAGCATGTAGCCCCTAGACCTTCTGGCACCTAAGGATTGATAGTGTTAACCCGAGACTCTGCCCTGTTACCTCACTGTCAGCCAATCAGAAAATTGTGCACCAGCTGATCACACTCCCTGTGACTCCCCTCCCTCACCTGGCCTTTAAAAATGCTTTCCTGAAACCCAATGGGGAGTTCGGGTGTTTTGAGCACTAGTTGTCCCAGACTCCTTGTCTGGCGCCCTGCAGTGAACACTGTACTTTCCTTTACCACAACCCGGTGTCAGTAGATTGGCTTTACTGTGGGGGTGAGTGGACCCAAATTTGGTTCGGTAACTGGGAGTGACTTTCCTGGCCCCCAAAGCAGTACATGTATGTTGGGGATACTTGGACCTTTTCTCTAAGTTGTACTAAAACATACACTTAAATTCTCTCATTTGTATCATTCCTCCAAAGAAAGTAATTTGGTACCTACCCCCCCAAAAAAACCCCAAAACAAAACTGTGAGGGGTACCTGCCATCGAAGAAGAAGAACTTCCCCCGTCCATTCTTTTCTCCATGAACAAAGTTGCCCTCAAATCTGTCAGTGGAGGAGTAGGTGACGGTGCAGAAGCCGTGTGGTAATCCGTCATCGTCCAGGTGCCCTGGAGAAAGGGGACCACAAGGCAAACCTTCACATCTTCAACGCTCCCCAGCTCCCCCACCATCATGTCTGCACTCAGATGCTGCCAGCAGGGAAGGGCTCCTGGGGCTGGCTGCTCAGGGCACTTGCTGGATAGTGAACATCAAGGTTTCTCTGCCTGCATCAGCACTACCAACTTGACTGGGAGGTCCACTTTGTGAACAGACATATGTGAGAACATGAACCAAAAACAAGCTTGCATTTTACCGGGGACTGGCAGTTATTGTTAATGATAACATCTGCAGTGCATGATGCCACACACCCACTACTTTCCCACACAGTACTCCTGTTTGGAATTCATGCACCTGAACTCTCATGCTTCACCAAAACGTGGTTGAGGTAGCACCCTGTCTTGGCAGTAAGTTATGTGGTTCTAGAACTAAGTATACACAATCCGATTTTATGTATCATTATATAGTATGCGGTGGAGCACTGCTAGCCAGGTGCCCTCTAAAACCCCACTGCTCTTTGTTATACTCAGACAACAAGGGATGTAGGTAGCAAAGTCTCTAAAACTGCCCTAATATTTGTACACCTCATTTTACTAACACATCAACTCAGAGTCCTTCTAAGCTTGAACTTAAGCTTCACCTTGAACTTATTGTTTAACTTTACAAAATCTTTCAGCTTTTGAATGTTCAGTAATAACCTGTCATAGAGCCTCTACCACTGTGGTCAGAGGGTTTGTGCTTTCAGTGTAGCTAGAAGTATCCACACGGCCATTTAAGCGATGATTCTGAATATCGGCCGCAATTACTATACTGTGATCTTTAAATTGCTGGTTTTTCTTGGGTCCCAGATTGGTATATTCTAATATTTATGTTTATAGTCAATGTTTAGGTTTTTATTATTACCTACATATTTCAAAAAACCCAGGAGTCACCTCACTCATGTCTCCCCAGGCATTCTGGTGAGCTAATTTTGCAGAGGTGGGTAGAAACGAAGGCAGCAGTTAATCTACTGGCTTTTTCCTGGGTTAATGACCTGAGTCATGGATGAAAAAGGTATAAAAGCATTAAATACGGCGTACAATGCAGGGACATTAAACCCTTAAATGTGGCTTCCAGATGGCTCACAGACGTAAAAGAAAGCACAAACCATAACACCACAATGAATGCTTGAGTCTCCTAAAATAATTTCTTCTAAAGTGATAAAAGAATATCATCCTTTAGAAGAGATAGTAAGCAAGCACTCTCAAAAAAAACAGGAAAGCTCTTTATTTGCGTTATTGATTTTACATAAATGCCAGATAACAACGAACCAATGCACAGCTTTATTGCTGCATCTGACTCTGTATAGAATGAATTACCTGAAATATAATAAAACATGGCTAGTTAAGTAAATCACAATCAATAAGTTTCCCTTCCTTTTAACACAAGTTTTTTTCACCAAGGCCAGGAAATTAATGGTTAGGAGGGAACTAGGGCACAATTGCTCTCTTCTTGCTCAAAAACCAAAAACTATACATGACATAATTCAATGACATGTGAGTCATATGAAATAATTTGGACAATTATTTTCTAAATATCGACGGATGACATTTCTCTCATTGAAATAAATTAAATCTACCTTTTTTCTTTTCATTCAAAAAAAAAAAAAGACCCACTCAGTGTATAGCTAAAAGCTTTCCTTAATGAAATGTTGCTTGGATCAAATTAAATTCAGCTATTAACATTCCAACCAATTTAGCGTTCTACTTTTGGTTTAGCTATAACTATCAGAATAATAATTTTAGCCTTGTGAGGTATTTACTAATTTGTTGAAAATGCTTCCCCCACCCCCAGAAAACAGTTCACATATTCCAGACTTTAAAAAGTTAATGTTTGATAAAATTCCTGATTCGCCTTTAGATAAAGAGAAATATTAAGATAAACTTGAACACTGAGGGGGAAAAAATCCAACGTAAATTCATTTCCACCTTTCCTCAGTTGCAACCGTCCTGTCCTGTTTCTGAATAAAACACTGCAGGTGCACCCTCAGCAGTGAAATCGAGATCTTTAAGAAAGCTGGAAGCATCCTGTAACACACTGAAAGCACTTGAGGGACAGAGCCGAATCCAACTGGGATGAAAGCAAAAACGTCAACCCGCTCTGTGAGGGACACGTGTGCCCACACCTCCTTCCGCAGGCCAGCAAAGAGGAGTCCCAACATCTTCTGAGTCTCGAGAGAGAGGAAGAAAAAAGCTGGTGAATGATGGCTGTTACTCTGGTGACATCATGTCTTTAGAAAGAAGGCCTTGGATGCGCAATGCTCCTATGACCTTCAAAAGGCAGGTTTCGGCAGCTTGTTGTGAGAAAGTTCTGCAGGCGCCCCCTGTGAGATCACAGTAGAGCCCGCTTGTTGGCTTGTCTGTTTTGTTTTCCTCTCCTCCTTCCACAAGGAGGATGGTGTGATCCATTAACAGGTTGTGATCAGTTACCGGGAGCAATTAAAAGGAGCTAAAAAATGAAGGGTTGTGATCATTCAAGACTTCTACCCAGAATATTTAAAAGCCTGGAGTGGTCTTCCTAGAAGCAGCAGAACTTTATCTCCAGAACAACAGCCCCATCCAAAACAATAACAGCAACGAAGAGGCTTTCCAAAGAAAGAAATGCAGGGAGGAGTGGAGACTGGGTTGCTGTGACCTCACATCTCCCACTGACGGCAGCGCTAGAGAAGCTTCTGGTACCACGCCTGCTCGAACGCCACTGGGTCAGTAAGATCATGGAATATTTGTCTTGCCAGTAATAGTCAATTTAATGGAGGGGGATATTGACATACAGAGAAGGAAAAAGTCTGTGTCCCTACTAGGCACCTGAAACCAGGTTATGTACTTTCCTGTTATCTAAATTAAACCTCACAATAATCCCAACTCTAATCTTACAGATGAGGAAGCCACTGCTGTGTGCCCAAGAAAGACATTAACCACCACTCTGAATGTGCTAACGGATGCCAACAGCCCTTTCCCCCACTCTTTCCATCTCTTTTCTCTCTAGATAAGAGTAAACTAGCAGAACACCCCTCTTTCCCATGGATGGTGGAAGGAGGGACCTCTAAAGAGGTCAGTGTTCTCAGGCCCCAGGCAGAGAAGTGGAAGAAGGCTTTGTAGTTAAGACAGTTCTCACAGAACCACCAGGATAGTCAACAGCACATCCTGGCTGCAAATTCCTGTCCCTCCCAAGTGTTACCCAACTCAGAGAAACTCGAGTCCTCCTTGCTGTGACTGAGGTCGATGTGTAAAACGCGCCAAGCCAGCCAACAGCCCTCCAGGCCAGTTCCCACTAAACAGAAGTTGAACGCAAGCCCCGAACAACAACGAAAATCCACTTGACTGACTTCTCTGTGTGGGAATGCTGTCCCAGCTCGTGTGCAGTCTGTCTGTCTGCAGCACGGCTTTAAATATTTACACAAGTTGGAAAAAGGGGAAAATGTAACAGCCACACAAGTCTCCTTTTTCACTTTGTTCTAAAGATCATTATCTACTGACAAGATAGAAAGTTCGATTTTTTCCCCTCGAGTTCCCTCTGAGCTTTTTTGTAACCTGATGAGAGCCAGGCCTGCCTTCTGTGCAGTGAGGGTACATCTCAGCAAAGGAAACTCCCTCTGGATCAGACAGCGGCTGCTTACTGCCTCAGGCATACTCACAAGAGATCTGAGCATGTGTGTGTGTGTTCATGTGCATGTATGTGTTTCCCTCAGAACAAGAGACCCTGACGTGCATGGTTGGTTTTGTAGCTTAAAACTACTTAAAAAAAAAAAAGGAGTAATAATAAAAGGCCAACTTATTCTTTTTGGTGCAAACAATGTACCCTCAAGATGATGCACTTAATGCTGGTTGTTAAAAACAGAATTTGACTTTGGGAGTAACTCTTTGCAAGAGCTCAATTATTAGTTGTGAGGGTCCTAATTTTAATGAGGCCCACACAGAGAGGGTGCTACCAGTATACTTAGGAGGCATTTTTTCCTCAGAACAGAGCATGAACAGCCTTAGAGACAGGATAAGATATGAGGGGGACTGTTAAAAATATTCTTAATATTTGGAGGGGGTTGGGGCAGTGAAACATGGAGACACTTGTTTTCATTGTGGCTCCTTGGTTGTGGAGATTCTGCTATTTCCCCTCCTTTTAGTATTCCTCCTCAGTGTCTGCTTGCTAGGTCCCAGCCTTTCTGTTTTCTCCTGCCCTCATAACCACCTATCTGGACTGCGGCAAAGAGCCTTCAGGGTGATCACCTCACCTGCTCCCCACAGGCCGCTCATCCTCCCCAGCAGAGCTCCCATTCCTCCATCCCAGCTCTAAAGCCCCCGTGGTTCCTGGCACGCAGTCCACATTCTCGGCCCTTGACAAGCCTCCTTTCCCTGTCTTCCCCTCCACTTTTCTCCTTCTAGGCGCCCTGTTACACCAGAGCAATTCCTCTCTGCCCGTGCCTGCAGAGTTCCACACTTTTGTCTTGACTCCCTAACGTCCCTTCTCTACTGGACTCAACTCCACCCCACCTCTTCCAGAAAATCCAGCTACTGCCCCAAGCTGGCCACCATTTTTACTTCCTCTCCACCATCATTCGTCTGCTTAGATATGATGTATTTATTTCTAATTATATGAGGGACCACTCTTGGTATCTATGAGTAGACCAAAAAATAGATATTGTAATAAAGATTTCTGTTCCAAAGCTAAACATCATTCCCCACTGAACCAAGGAGCCTCAAAGTTTTTAAAAGGCCACAGCAGGAGCTCAGGTGGAGTTTGCAGGCCTGCTGAGGCCCAGGGCTGCCTTCCCAAAGGAGCAGAGCCAACACCTGTACACAGACACCCCCTCCACCACCCACCTGTCCCTGGGGAGTCATGCACTCTGAGCTCAGAGCTTCACCCAAGCTACAGTTCCACCCCGACAGAGAACCAAAGTGCATATGATGCGACAAAAGATGTTTACACTCAAGACCTGAAGAGACCAATTTCTTCCCCAAGGTAAATTTCTAAGGAGGAAGAAAAAGAAGAAAAAGAGTATCTCTTGCAGAGGCAACAGTTAAATTCTCTTTTCCCACATACATTTTTCTGAAAGTCACTGAACTCTTAGAACCAACCTCTTAAGAGTGACACTGATAAAGAGTGACACTGACAGAACATTTAACTGTTGCTTCCAAACTCAGTCCCTAAGTATTTCATATATTTGACAGAGTCGTTAAAAATTAAAAAAAAAATAAGAAAAATGTAGGAAGACAGTTTGGTATGGGAGAGTGGGGTTCTGGAAGTCCAAGCCTTTTTCCTACCTTGCTGAGTGTCCTTGGATTTGTTCTTAACTTCTCTAAGCCTCAGTTGCCTCCTCCATAAAATTAGAGTAATATTGGTGCCCACCTCGTGAGACTGAATGGAGAATGTGTATGTGAAACACTTAGCACAGAGCCTGCGCGTAGTGAGAACTAAACAATGACAGCGATAAGTACAGCGAAGACAATGAAACTGCAGAGAACCCAGGCTCTGTTTATGGAGAGAAGTGGGTTAGCTGGTACTTCAACACCAAGATATTCAGACTAGCCTTTTACCAGTCCCCCATGCATGTGCTAGATATTAAGTAAAGACGATTATAGACAGGACCTAAAAGCCCAGGAAAGCCTGCAGAAAAGCCCATTTTTACATATGCATGCTCTGGGCACTGTGTGAGTTTGAGCCAGGGATGCATTTAAAGACTTTTAAAGAGTCCAGGTTACTCTGATCGCTAACTGTTGGGTACAACTGAGTAACCATGTGTCCCAGATTGCTTCAGACATTCAAGGTTTAAGCCAGTTGTCCCAGCTTAAGTGACCCTTCTCAAGCATATTCAGATCTCAGATGATGTATGTGGTCACCGTACATAACACCGTACTTAACAGAAACTTTCTTGCTTATATAAAGCCATTTCTCTGCTTCTGTCCATTGGACAGTCTCAAAAACAGCATTAGTACATTTCTGAAACTGCTTGTTCACCTTCAGCAAGGAGCCGGGGATTATGGCTAACTGGGCCTTGTGTTTCTAAACAGCTTCAAAAGGGAGGGGAGGTTTAAGCTGGGGAGCACTGCCTGTGATCAAAAGTGTGCATTATGTTTTTATGGGTAAAAGTAGACTTTGAAGAATGAGAGCAAGCCCTAACAATTTGAGACAAGCATTTTCCAATTATCTTTCATAATATAAGGCACAAGAAGTCAATAATTTAAATTTAAAGAAGACATCCAATGGATCGACTCAATCAATGTCTTTGGGCTCCAGTAAGTCCCAATGTTGGCTTTACTTATTAGAGATAAAGAGTTCTGTGAGTTCAGGACATTGTTAAATTAAAACAACACCAACACTCCTTGAAGCTGGATAAAGAAATAGGAAGTTTAATAGTTACAGTAGGACAGTTACCTTTTAGAGAATTCAGGAATATTATTCTACTTAATCTCTCCCTGAGACCTCGGGAGCACAGTTATGCTGACATAAAAATTCAGTTTCTTCTTCCAAAGTAGCAATAACTATGCATCCTTATGCATCTGTAAGCGTTGACACTTTGTTTCTCTTTACCACTTATGAGAACTTGTTTATACAAATTAGACAGAAACCAGATTCAACCAAAAGCTAAAAAATGTTTACTTAGATGCTTGGTTTAAAATATTCCGGAATAATAACCACACAACATTGCAAAACATCACGAAGTACTGTCTTGGGTAGAATCAAATAAATAGATACGCTAAAGAGTAATTTCCAGTATTCACTGTTACAAAATCATAACATCTCATGATACAAACAACTAGATTGTATAACGTCCCCACCTCGCTTTTTAGAACTAGCAGGGATTAAAAAAAAAAAAAAAAAGAGGTGGAGAAACTCAGCAAAACAAAGTGGCGAGAAAAGTCGGGGGAGGGGCGCTAGAAGCGAAGGGGCGGAGAAACACGACACCAAAGCGGTGATATCACCCACAGCCAACTGCATGGAATTCAGAAAGTTAAGTGTCACCCAGCAATTTCGGTCCCGGCTTGCGGCGCGCCTGCACAGCGTGGCGGCGGCGGCATCGGGATCGGAGGCAGAAGGGGGAGGGGCGGTTTGACTGAGTTCGCCTGGGGGCAGCAGAGGCCGGGGCCACCGCCTCCGGGTGTGCGTGCGTTCAAGCCCCGGGTCGGGAGCGTTGTCCACAGCCCTGCAATGATTTCATCGTTTCGGAGGAGCGACCGCCCTGGCCGCCGCTGCCACGTGCCTGGTCCGACCCCGTGCGCTGCGCTGGGGGACGGACCGGGACACGGCCGCGGTCACCGCGGGTCGCAGCGGCGTGAGGAAGGAAAGGGCTGGCGGCCCGAGAGGGGCTCGTGCTTGCCAAAACCGGGCGGGGGTATTGCTCCACGGAGACCGTCGGCCGCAGGGGGCTGTCCTCCTGCGCATCCCTACCTTCCACCCCCGAAACGGGGAAGGCCGGAGTGCGGGGCAGGTTTCGCAACTCCGAGGGCGGATGCAGGCGGTGGCCCGGCGGGATGGAGCAGCCGTGTCCTCCTGGGGGCTTCGGCCCAGTGGAGCCCGATTCCCGGCCTGCGCCCCGCCGCGCAGTGCGCGCTCCCGG